CAAAGCCGAAGAGCCAGCGCTGTCCGAAGACGTTTCCGTGGTCATGTGGCCGGCATGACTAAACACCAAGGCGCACGGAACGCTGTTACCTTCCCACCGAAGTGGTCCCTATTTATCTACTTGCAATTTCTTGCTTTCGAACTGCTAGGTTGGCAGGAGCTGGAGCTAGAGACAGGAGCTCACCCTGTCTTGCGGCACCCGGGTCTTGAACCGCTGAACTACTGACCTTCCACAGCCTGCAGTTCAGCGTCTTAACCACTTGAGCCACCGCTCTAACCCATGCATAATCTTATAAACCTCGATCACGACACCCCTCAGCCGTCGCTTCTCCAAGCTAAAGATGCCAGGCATCCCCTCCCCAAACCACAGCTTCAAAGCCCCCCCCCTGGGGGGGGCGAGAAGGTCGACGAAAGATGAGCATCCTTACCTTCCTGGCGCCCTCTTAGGAGGAGCAGTGTTGTTTCCCCTGCCCTGCCACTCTCCCATGGAAACAACCAAATTTGGTGGCACCCTGTATGTCCCTTCAGGCGCATGATTTTCACTGGGAGCCTCATCTAAAGGGGGGGGGGGAGAAACAGATGTCAAGGCATAAGCATGGCAAACCGCCTGGAAGAGAAGGTACCTGCTAAAAGATACTCCCAAGAACTGTATTTTGTGAACAGGCACAACTCACAAGAACATCTGAAGAGCCCTGCTGGATCAGACCAGGGGTCCATCTACTCCAGCATCCCGTCTCACCTGGCGGCCAACCAGTTCCTCTGAAGGACAAAGCGGGCAGAGAGGCTGAGGCCTTCCCCTGATGTTGCCTCCTGGCTCTGGGATTTAGAGGTTGACTGCCTCTGAACACTAAGGCTGCCTTCAGAATGTCCCTGAATGTGGAGGTCCTCATGGCCAGTAGCCACTGAGAAACCTCTCCTCCATGAATCTCTCTAATCCCCTTTTTGACTGTCTATCCCTGTGGCCGTGTCTGCATCCGGGGGCAGCAAATTCCACATTCTAATCACTTGTTGTGCAAAGAGGTACTTCCTTCTGTCTGTCCTGAATATACCGACCATCAGCTGCACTGGGTGCCCTCGAGTTTTAGTCTTTGGGGGAGAAGGAGAAAAAGTTATTTTTGCCAACTGTCTCTACCCCATCCACAGTTTTAGAAACCTCTATCGAAAAATGGGCAGTAAATATGAACACAGAAGTAACAATAGAATCTTGGGAGTATTTATGGCAAAATGCATTAAAATATCAACATGTTATAATTTTAAAGAAAACTGCTATAAGATGATGTATAGGTGGTATATGACACCGAAAAAGATTGCTAATATCAATATCAATATGTCTAACAAATGTTGGAAGTGTAAAAAAGTGGAGGGCTCTTTTTACCATATGTGGTGGACATGCGAAAAAGCAAAGAAATTTTGGAGTGAGATCCATGCAGAGGTGGAAAAGATCACGAAATGTACATTTAAAAAGGAACCAGAAATACTACTTTTGGTACTAAAAATGGAAGAGGTTAATGTATCAAAGAGAACTTTGATGTGGTATATGATAACTACAGCAAGAATGACATATGCTCAGAATTGGAAACAGCAGGAAGTCCAGAAGATTGAAGATTGGATTAAGAAACTATTATTTTCAGTTGAAATGGACAAACTGACAAGAGAGTTGAATAATATGGAAGCAGAAGATTTCTATAATGACTGGAAGGATCTAAAAGAATACTTAGAAAAGTATTGGGAAGTAAAAGACAATTTGTTTAGTTTTAATAATTATTAATCATAGAATGCTTGGGAGATAGGATAAGTTAAAAA